AGTGAAGAAATAAAGAAATACTAAAAGAACAAGCAACAGAGAGATAACCCTTTCCAGCTTATAGCTAACATGAGACAGGGTCATAGCTGTCAACTTGTCCGGATTTTCCGAACAAATTCCGGTTTTTTGAGTCTTTTTTGGAATTTGTCTGGTATCCGGGATTTGTCCGGATTTTGAGAATTTTCTGCTTTTGGCTGTTTTTCCCTGATAAACGAAATCGTATGTCGACAGAACTTATTGCAACTGAATTGAAAATTCGTTTAAAGTTATCGTTATTATGCACTCAAATTTATAATTATTTTTTATCAAAGCCAGAACCCTAGTGAAATCCTTATGAGTTTCCTGATAGGATCCGAGACATATCCTACCAATATCCTACTAGGATTTCGCTTTAATTTCTTAGGATTCTAACAAAGCCTAGAGGATCCTAATGAAATCAGATATACCCGAAAGTCATAGGATTTTCTAAGATTCTGTTAGGATCCTAAACAAACTTAAATCCTAGTAGGATTCTGTAAGATCTTAGTGGTGGAAATCGACCAGAAATGTGTAGAATTTTGTCTAGGGAACTTGAAACTTATTTGGATCAAAAATATACATTCAAAAAACAGCGTGTCAATTAAAATCGAAATTTATATTTATGTTTGTTATTTTCTCGAATAAAATCATATAGAGCCAGAGAAGAAACCTTTTTTGGCACTCTGCGCAGTAAAAAAAGGTTAAATAAGGCAGTGAAAATAGGTTTCCGTTTTTTTTCCGGATATCAGGATTATGATTCCGGATTTCTGACTTGTACAGGTAGCAACTCTGGAAAGGATAAAAAATTAAGGAGGAGAAACCATTTGCAGGTCATGAAATACATTCATATTTTGGTGACAGTAATGGAAAGTGAAGATCAATGTGGAAACCGAAACTTGTGCCACAAACAAAGAGCGGAAAGTACGATATAATCCATTGCGGCATTTTTATCTACTTTTTAGAATATGAAACGAGACCTATATGGGTTTTTATCCAAAATTTCTAAAAACACTTTTCTTCATATTTCAAAAGATGAACGCTGTCGAATACGTTTTCTCTCTTTTTTTGCTAATTACTAACCACTAAATTGTTATTCTTTTCTTTTATTGATTTGGTGTGTTTAAAGCTCACGTAGTTAACTAGAGGACTTTGATATACGGAAGCCAAATAATAGCCTGACTACCATTCTCTCAAAAATCTTTTTCAAGACGATAGCAGATAAGAACTTCAGAAAATGCGCTCTTATCCGCTCCAGGATGAATGTTGTTAAGAAAAAAATGACCATCATTACTTTTCAAGAAATTCTTTTATATTAGCTTCAATGAATTTCGACTGATCTTTTCATGTAACCTACTCTGTATTTTTATTTATTTTATGCTTTTAAAGAAAATGGGGCTCATACTAGTCGAAAAATAGAATATATTCTGACAAGTGAAAGTTGTGTAGAATCTCAATATGTGAAATTCTTTGCATAACAGATTGTCAGTTCGAGAAAAAGAAAATTGATAAAAATTTTGGATAATTACATTTCTGTTAAATTCCAGTATAATTGACGCACATATGTATCAAAATAATAAGAAAATTGAAAAAAGCACAGTATAGAACAAAAAGTTTTCTTTAAATCGAATCGAGGCCATCTCCTACCGCTCAAAACATTTTATCTTTATCATGACAAAAAGCGCGTTTTCCACAAAAAGAACACTTTGCCGTTATATAAACGCGTTCAAGTACGTTCGAAATCTTTAAACTAAAACAAACACATCAAAATAATAATATATAAACAAAATAAATATGCTCGATTATAATATCGGACGTTTCCAACATTTTAATGGTATCTAGCATGTTTTGTAGGAAAAAATCTTGTACTGTTAAACACGAACAAATGTAAAACTTTTCAAACGTATTTATTTTGGCATTTTTTTGTTGCAACGCATATATTTTAAAACGCGTGATTTTTCACGTCTTACTTCGGACGCGTTTATTTTCTTTAAAATTTTTTTCATTCATGAACTTAGATAAACACATTTCCATATCAATTCAGTCGCTAAATTTTAAAAGTGTGTTCGGTCAAAACTGATTGCAGATTCGAACTCTTCATAATCGATTACATTGTACGCAACAAGTTTTGATTTGGGGTACTACAGAAAAAATTTTCTCCATTGTTTTGCAAAAGAACTTTTTACAAAGTTTCTGGAGGAGATTAAAGATTGAATGAGATTGAGAAATTTTTTCTAGAGTATCCCGATTCAAAACTTGTTGCATACAAAGTAGCCGACTATGGAGAGTATGAATCTGCAATCCGTTTTGGCCGAAAAAGCTTTTAGAATTTCGCGAATGAATTAATATTTTTCATAAAGAAAAGCGTGTTTATTCGTGTTCAAATATTTGAGTATGTTCTGTGATCTAAAAATATCAGACAATGCTGCAATACGATAAAGCCGATTAACAGGTTTTGATTCTTTCAATTTCTTTCATAAGTTCCACTTGTTGTTTAGATACATTCAAGAAAATGATATAAGGAGCTCTGACTCTCTTCCGCTAGATATTCTGAAATTTTTGCTAATTTTCTGCAGTCAGATAAAAATTGGGACTTAACGAATCACGCAGTGTGAAAGCTTGTCAACGATAATTATGAAAAGAAGCTAAAATCTTATGACAAAAGAAAATCTCAAAATGATTTCAATATATCAATTTTTTTATTTCTTCGCTGTCATGTTTGTAGGAAATTAAAATTTCAAACTTTTAATGCTATGCACGTATGATTTTCATGAAAACCTATATGAGTTTTTCTCAGATATATTCTATCAACCTAAAACATATTGAGTTTTGATCAGACCCACAAATTATGGTTGGATGTATATCAGTCGAGTGACGCCTCTAAGCTTGCAAAACAAGACGTGCGCACACAAATTTCTATTCTTTTAAAGTATGGCCTAATTACTCTCAAATTGAGAAAAATCTAAGAAAAAAATAAAAAGCAGATGAGTATCCTCTCTTAGTCAGAGAGTTCCTGTACTATATTTGTGCACGATAACCAAAATTCATCCTGTTTTTGGAAGATGAATTTATAACATTTAAATCCTATTTACGATCTCTGGTTCAATTTTTATCTTGAAAAAATTGACATATAAAATATCCGCTATTATCATACAAATAACCCAAATTACATCATCAGCTCGTTTGTCTGTACAAGAAAGAAATAAAAGAAAAATAATATTAAATTCAATGTTAATTAAAGACATTATCATCAAAAATATTCTCTCTTTTTCTCAGATGCTACTATCTCTCTCTCTCTCTCTTTCTAGATCGACATTATCTTCTTTATAAGCCCCAAGGGTATTCTAAAGAAATACGGTGTATTTGTTGTATTCATTAACAATTTCAAGTAGTACTACTACTAACAGCTAATCATAAGAGTTAAAAAAGAAAAAAAAAATCTGCTTTCGTCTTCTCTCTTTTCAATTTGTAATACAAGAATAATCGTAACTCTCTATATGCGTCATATGGTCTCTCATTTCCGTTTTTATATACACTAACACATTTTGACAAATGGTGGATGATAATGATGATACAGTAAAACACTTACAGTCACATATCGAAAAAGAAACTACAGACAATCGTTCTGTATATGCATGTTTTCCTTCTTCTTTCTATTTTATTTTTTTTTTATCCAATATATTTATTGCGCCATCAGATTTCGAGTCATTAAAAATGCTTATACATAGTCAAAAATAGTTATGATGATTTATTGAATTTTGTTTTGACGATTTCTTATTTGTTGATTTGACGAAAAAAAAAAAAGTATATAAAGCTTTTATTTGGTAATCGTCGTTCAAGACATATCGATATTAACGAAGAATATTCAAAATGAATCGAATTTTTTATTTTATAAGAATAAATAACGATAACGACGATTATTATTTTATTTTTCGATAAAAATAATTTCATGCATACAGCACCAACAACACGTTCAGATTCTTATTCAGAATCGGTCCAACGTGGATGGCAACAACGACCATTAAGTAATGATTCATATTCAAGAAGTCCAAAACAAGATCGAAATAATGCTACACGAGTACCACTTAATTATAAAAATATACCAGAAGATAAAGAAACACAAGGTATGTTAATCTAGTAGATTTTCTTTTTTCATTTGGAGAAAGTTCGGATGAAAAGAGTTTAAAATCTTCAATACATTTATTATTCATCTCATTAGTCAGTCAGTTATTCACTTCGCCACTTAACATTTTTCGTCTTTGCTATTCATCCGTTTTCAATGTAACATCTGTTTTAAGAAAAACGAGTACCATACTTTAGACATGTTGACAAAAATACTCTAGTTTTCATATAAAGATAAAAGTTTGCTCAATACTTTAGTTTTCTGTAGTTCTAATAAAGATTGAATTGATTTAAAACAACAGACATGAATTTCAAAAGTGTAAAAAGAACTCATTCAACATGCATTTATAAAAATATCGTATTTTCATGTTTTTAAGATCCTGCTTTATATCCATTTCGTCGACGACAACAACAAACGGATAATTTAGTGAAAAACTTCGCATCTGCTTCATCATTTTTCAATGTACCATCGAAACCACGTGAAGTTTCATTAAGAGTCAAATTTATACGTCTTGGAGAGGTAATAACAACACAAACATACTTTCAAAACCATATGCTTTGAATAGAATTGATATTCCAAAAAAAAACAAAAAACAACGAGATTTTTTTTAAAGATATATTTTCTCATCATTATTATTTGTTTTCTCTAGGTAAATACATTGCAGGAAAAATTTTATGCTGAAGTTGTTATTGAAGCACGATGGTTATACGATGGTCAAGATCAATTAACATCGGCATGGAATCCTAATTTATTTGTTAAAAATGCTCTCGGTGATGTCAAACAAGAAGTTGCTAGTGAATTGGTGACAACAAATCCTGGTGAATCTTATATGGATACTCTTTTAGTACCCACATCGACTAATGATTCTCATATGTTACAACAACAACAGCAGCAACAGGGTACTTATTATGTATGTGAAATACGAAAAGTTGTCGGTACATTTTGGGAAAAATTAGAATTAAATAATTTTCCAGCTGATATACAACAATTATCATTACAAATTGTTACTCGTCGTCCAATTGAAGAATGTGTTTTAGTAGAAAATCGTTTACAACCATCATTAGTTAATAGAGAAGCATTTTTAGGTATGGTATGATGTTTTTGTATTAGATATTTAATAGAAAATGTTGTACAGATGGATAACATTTAAGCAATTAGGTTTTAATTACATAGACACATACACACACACATATTAGACTGCACCAATAATAATGACCCGTTGAAATAGATAAATAATAGTAGAACAAGATTTTTTTTTAATATAGTACGGATAAAAATCATTAGTTTAATTTACCAACAAAAAAATATTTGAAAAATTTTTGTTGTTTATCAAATTTAATTCTTTAAAAATAGACTGTAAAATGTTTGATAATTGAAATTGATTTTCTTGGTTGCTCGTTCATATTATCAAAAGCTGTGGCATAACATAAATAAATACTTCCTTCTAAAAAATGTCCTTGACTAACAAAATGTGTGAGGCATGTGTCACAAGGGTTTATGTTACAATGAATATAATATGTTGATCGAAAATATGTTAAATTAACCATAGCACATTAGAAAAGGATACAAATTTCTTCTCAATACTATCAAGGTGTTTTAACAAATGAAGATGAGACAAAAATCTATCAATTATGAAAATATTAGAGATAAAAAGTCAAAAAATTTCTTCCATCAAACATCTTCGTAGAGTGATACTAATGAGAAATCTTTCTTGACTCCATTCATCTATATTCTACTGTCAACATTATGTAAATAAATTTTCAGTTTATTTTAAGCGCAGCAAGAATGGTTCTTATATGAACATATTGAAACGAGAAGCACAGTGACTACTGAGGATTTCAGTATACGTCCAATACGTCAATCAACATTTATAGGTCTGATTTTGTACGTGCAGTACTATCTTTAAAATATTTTATTTGTTTCAATTTAATCATTAATTATTTTATTTTTAGCTACATGTTGTGTTAGTAGACGTCCTGGCTACTTCTACTGGAACGTTTATTTACTTATATTTTTAATAACACTTATTGCATTAACCGTCTATGCTGTTGCACCAGAATTACCTCAAAACAGACTTCAAATAACAGGTAAAAATAAGTATAACTCTTTAGACTATTATCTTATATTATCAAATTTTCTCTACTTTTAGCTACCCTTCTGTTAACATCAATTATGTTTCGTTGGTCTGTCTCTCGTTTATTACCACCTGTCTCTTATTTGACTTTGTTAGATAAATATACGCTCATTTCACTCGTATTTATATCGTTAAATTCTATTTGGCACAGTATTGTTGGTTATTTAATTCCAAAAATTGGCTTATCAAAATCTATCGACTATTATGTTTTACTTATGTTTTGTGCTTTATTCATTATTTATCATATTTTAATGGGTTTACTATTGTATTTTGCATTTCGACGACGTCAAATTATGTTAGAAAGTGATAAAAAATATGCATCAAAACTAGCGAGCATGTATGAAACATTTGAACAAGGACATTTACATGTACAACGATTTAAAGAACGATCATCATCTAGTCGATCAAATCTGTTTGTTTAGAGAGAGAGAGAGAGAGAGAAAGAAAATTGTGGTAATTTGAATAGTGTTTTTTTGATAATTTAAAAATAAAGCTAAAATAGAAAAGTCGATGAAAATAAAAAACAAGGAAGACAACTGTCTGTCTTTGCATTAAAAATGTCCATAATTGTAGTAGAACAGTCATCTGTAGGGAGATAGTCGCACGTGTGTCTGTCTATCATAGTTTGGGTAGATCTCCCTCTCTATCCCCCATGATAAACCTTGGTCATGTCTAACGAGTGGCATTCTGAATTGGTATTTGTAGTCGTTTTATGCCAATCAAAGTATCAAATAACTACGATAAATAATATTTTTATTCTACAGCTGTATATAGTTACAGGTATATAGTCGAAAAACTAAGACCAAAAAGACGCGTACCATCAATCACATAAACAGGCTTTTTCTGTTAGAGAATCTTAACAATTTTAGTGACATGTGTGTATATTCTCGATATTACACGGGTGAATAGATCTGACAATGGGCTACCTACTGATATAAAGCGCTGATCAATTCTAATTAAATTCTGTAAGTATGCATTGATTTATCATAATTATCGTTCTGGGATGATTATGATAAATATATAGCCAATGTAGTTGAAATAAATTTAGACAAAATTTATATTCTTAATAGAAATAGGCAACGATTTTTTCAATAATTTAATAACTAATAATATAGCTATGTAGAATTTCATTGTTTTTTAACTTTATTTGTTACGAATCAAATGTTTCGACCTTTACGGTCATTGTTACTTATTTTCTTGACAGAAAATTTTTTGCAAATCAATTTAAAATTATGTTATTTTAGAGAGAATTTTATGTTCTATTTCTCATACGAATTACTAATCATTAGGACTTGTCTCTAATCCATAAGCAGAAATTATACAAATTAAAATTAGTCGTTTAATCCTATACATGTGATCTCGAATAATTATGATAAGTACGTGTATATGACACGAAATAGGCAAAAAACAATCGTTATTACCTGTCAGAAACCAGTTTTGTCTTTATGCTAAATGACAGTTGTTTAGAACCTTGGACTCTAAGCTGTTTTTACCTTCTCTTTTAACTTTTCAAATGTCTAAGCTCATAATCCAGTTGTTCAAGGTCCTAAGCTGCAGAGCTTTGGAGAAAAATTTCAAGTGATGATATTTTTCAAAATTTCGTGAGAATTTTGTAGGAAAAAACTAAGTAATTTGATTGAACTGTTCATTAAAAATTTCAATCAATATTATTAATTTTCTGTAGGATTGTCACGATAAATTTTCAGTGGAAACAAACTGGATGGTAAATGATTAGTTTACGTGTGAGTAGGTATGCACTAGTTACAGTTTTTTACCAGTTAACTGTACTCGTAAATCTGCTGATAACTATAACTGTTGTATATCTACGTGTGAGTAGTAATGGAGAAACTTGCCATTGGTTACATTTTGAGCGTTCACACATGAATTCATCGATAGCCGTTATTAAGTTTATTGAATAGATTCTATCCATGAGCACTTGTGGACTAAAACCCCTAGGATTTCAAATAAGCGCGAGGATCATGTCATAAAGGGCGCATTTAAACATTTATTCCAACGTAGCTCTCATTCATAAGTAAATTATGAAGATTTTTTTGATTCTACAATATGAGCGAAAAGATGCACAAACGTATTTTTTTCCTCTCATTGACAGCGGCTCGGCTAACATCTGTATCTAGGTGGCTGCAAAAACTCCAAAATTAAAAGAAATATTCAACAAATGCATGAGGAACAGCATAATAAAAAATTCTCTTGAACCCCATCAGATGAGAATTGTCTTATGCTCAAATAAATTGTAAATGTGTTACCATTTTACTCATTTTGTTGATCCAACAACATTCCAAAGGAGCATTGTATAAACTGAGAGACAACTAATGTCGTAGATGAAAGGGCGCTCTGCGAAATCTATTATAGACAGTACTTGATTTGTTCTGTCATTGTTCTGATATAGTTTTTTTGTAAACTATCTTGTTCAGATGAAATTTTAATTTCATTCATAGTAGGAGAATGACTGAGTAATTTAAATTAACTTTTGCTAGATTTTGAATAGCATACTTTTATCTACAAACCTAATTGTCTCTTAGCTTTTATACAATACTCTATTTAAATTCAGTAGTATGAACAAGATGGATAAAATAGTAACTTGCTTACATGTTGTACGATCTTTCTCACCACTTTATGCATTGTATACTAAATTGTCATTTATTATTTCTGATCCTAATCATACGTTTCTCTTGTATATTCTAAATATTATTTTAAATTAAATTTTCTTAAACACTAAAAATATGTCGTGTCCTTCATTCGATAATCTCTTCTTTCTTTTATTGTTTTTTGTTTAACTAGGACTGTGTGGTTCATGGATTTTATGACGGTGTCATGTTTTGACGCTAGACAAAAAAAATATGTTCACAAAATATTTTGACAAAATATATTTTTATGTACGTGTTTTATTTACGGATTTTGTTGTTTGTTGTATGTGAAGGTGTTATTTTAGACTAAAGTGTTCTCTTTTTTTCTTTACTCTCGACATTTAAAATATCCATCAGCCTACATTGTGAAGTTAAAACGCCTTCACTAACAACAGAGAATAAAATAAGAAAAAAGATTTGTAATTATTGCCCTACAAACATGGTGATCTAGACCCCAAATATAATTTAAATAGTGGGAATAAAAATTCTTCAAACATACGGGTATTATTATTGGTTTCTATATATAGAAAGAATATTAGTCCATTTGTACTAGTTCATCGTTTCATTGTACCGGTGTCTACATAGACCATTATTATTCACATCAAAAATGAAATTATTATTAACATTTCTAATTTGTATATTTCTTCAATACGTACAATCAGACAAAGCATTGAAAAGTAAGTGAATATCCTAAAATCTATAATAGTTTTAAAATATATATAGTAGTTTTACATATAAGAGCAAGAAAAACAGCAAAAATCGAAAAAAAAATATTTAAATTATTTACATATTCATTGTCTATCGATAAACTTTCGCTGTTATTATAATTGTAAACAAATTTCTTATCATTAAATTATTTTAAAAGGGTTACTATAAGAAACAGTCATTGTTAGCAGCAATGAGCTAGAGATGGACGGTTATAGTTTATATCATTTGTTACTAGGTATGCGCCAGTTAAGAACTGATGTTCAGACATCCATGAAAATGACTGTAATTCGATTATGAAGGATTACTACGACTTGCAAAACGTTTCATATTGTAGAAAAAAGTTTGTTCTACGATACTCAATTATCAGAAAAAATTCAAATCTATTTCTAACAAAAATAAGATCATTTTAAAATGCAATAAAGCATCTTTTTTTCTCGTGATTTACTGCATTTTAAAATGATCATATTTTTGTTAGAAATAGATTTGTTACTTTTTTGGCGCATGTTGAATGATCAGTCAATCAATCAAAAGAACAATAAATTCTCGGAAAATATTGTTTTCTAATTAGTAAAAGTCATTCTTTTTTGAACGTTTAAGTCTACTTCTTACTTTCTATCGTTTAATATATCATTCTAAAAAGAAAGAAAAAAAGTGATTCATATTGCTAGTTTTAAATCGTAATAACAGACTACTGTTACTCACTTTTGTTCATCCGCTTTTAAACCTAATTTTTTCTTACGATTGTAACTTATTTAATCTTTAACATATGTGGCAATGTTCGCTCAAAATATATTTTATACAAAAAGAAACAATCTCTTTATTTGTTATGTTCCTATTCTTAGGATTGCAATGTAAAGATTTTGGATCTGACCATACAAATTGTCAAAGATTTTATCGATGTTTCTATAATTTACGAGTTTTGTTTACATGTGGCTCCGGAACAGCTTATGACTCAGAATTGAGAGTATGTGTATCGAAAGATCAAGTAGAAAATTGTAAATCAAAAACAAAAATCGGTAATTATTTCTCATCTCGTTTATTTTTCTACTTGACACTTGTTAGATATGATTCTAGGTAATTCAAATTTAATCGCCCCTATCTTTAATGAAACTGATGAGTATCCAACAATTGAAGCTGATGTTGACACATTGGAAGAATCGAAATTCAAAACTATCCGATTATTACCGAAAAACGCAACAAAAAGTTTAGTTACGCCAAAACAATTTAGATGTTCATCCTTTTGCAGAAATGGAGCATCTTGTATACTTGTCGAACAAGCCATCCAATGTCAATGTACAGCTCTCTGGTCCGGTACTCGATGTACAATTGCACGTAAGCCAAAAGAAAGGTTTTCTAAAATTTTATTTGTTGATAGATGTTTTTTTATAATTTCTCAGACATCTTATTTTAGCGTAAAGACAACAATTCGAAGCCAGCTGTGCAGACGGCTTTGATGCGTACCAAAATGAAGAAAAATGTCAGCATACTTCTTTTGGTTTTTGTTGTATATGTCTTTCTAAGTGCACTGACGACCTTAGTAAGAATTTATGGAATTAAGATCTACCATCCTTTGACCTTATCATCCCAAGCAAAAACGACCCAATTTTTTGGATTATTTATCTAGATTCAGCTCCACGTGCATCTAGGTGTACGTGGAGCTGAATCTAGATAAATAACCCAAAAAATTGGGTCGTTTTTGCTTGGGATAATAAATCCCTAGCCAACAAAACAACTCCCCCCTTGTTTCCCAAACGATCCATTCAAAAACAGAGATAGTTGCGATTACTATGAAACGGTTTGAGCTTTATGTGTCATTGTACCGTTGTTTATATTATTCTGTTTGACGATGCTCAAGTAGAATTTATAAGTAGCTGTATCTTTCTCGCGTCATTGATGACACCTTTTAACGAGGTTTTCGGTCTTTTTTCTTTCAGACGGTTCAATCACTTCTAATCTTTTTAATAATTTTTGTACCGTAAATCCCTGTTTGAACGGAGGGATTTGTCTATTGAGCGGTTTGGGATTTCTGTGTCAATGTCCCACAACCTATGTTGGAAATCGATGTGAAGGTACGGCAAGTAATATAAATAAGTTCAAATCTGTTATTGGAATGGCATGTGTATTACAATGGGGACCGCCTTACTGCATGTTCACTTATCATTTACAATAATTTTTAACATTTTCTTCTTTTGTTTATAGCTGTCAAACCGAACGTTTGTCAGCCAAATCCATGTCAGAACAGAGGTGTCTGTTATGTTGAATCAAACACATTTGCCTGTAATTGTCCAAGTGGATTTACCGGACGTTGTTGCGAAACAAATCTCGCGTTAACCAATCCATGTTACAATAATCCATGTCAAAATGGAGGAATATGCGAAGTAACTGGAACTGGTTATATTTGTTCTTGTGCAAGTGGTTACACTGGTGCCAACTGTGAAATAAACGTTTGCCAGCCGAGTCCATGTTTGTGAGTATTTTCATTATTGAAACAAAATTATTTTAAAGAAAATTGACTGTCTTTAAGATATGGTGGTATTTGCACTCCTTTTGGAAACACGTTTCAGTGCACCTGTCCACCTCAATATACAGGTCGTATTTGTGAATTATTAATTATCACTCTTCCCCCAGATCCGTGTCTCTCACAACCATGTCGAAATGGTGGTACATGTGTTTCAACTGGTTCCTCTTTTGTTTGTCAATGTACACGAAGTTATTATGGAGTTTGTTGTGAAAATCGAAATTATTGTGAGCCAACTCCATGCCTAGTACGACTCATCAGATTCTTATAGAATAAAAAAATTTACAGTTTCTTTGTATTTTATAGAATGGTGGAAGTTGTATTCAAACTTCAACGGGTTATATTTGTCAATGTTCATATCCTTACACAGGCAGTAATTGTCAGACATGTAAGAAATGAGAAAAGATTAGTTTGTTTATAAGGCAAAAATGATATTTCCTCCTTTTCAGTGATCACTACAACACCTACTCCAATACAAATTGTTTGCATCGTAGCACCATGTCCTCAACCCACAGTGACTGTTGTTAATCCCTGTCAGCCAAATCCATGTCAAAATAATGGTGGTTGTGCGGTAACTGCTGGCATTGCTCGATGTTATTGTTTAGCAGCGTATACCGGCTATTATTGTCAATTTGGTTTGTAAAACTTGTCATTTGTTAATTCATTGAACAATTTTGATATTTTCTTAGCTCGTAAACGTACAATCAGTACATCAGCTTGTTCAAATATAACTTGTTTGAATGGTGGTGAGTGTTATATAAGTGACAATGGTGCAAAGTGTACGTGTCCAAAAGAATACTATGGTGATCAATGTCAAAACAATAATCGTCCAAGAACCTGCCAACCAAATCCGTGTGTAAATGGAAATTGTGTTGCAACAAAAGATGGATACAAATGTGTATGCAAACCTGGCTCTACAGGAATTTTGTGTGAACAAAGTATGCCTTTTTTTTATTGAATAAGGTCGTTAATATTTGATTCTCTGTTTTGAAATTTTAGTACAAAGATCAAATGATTATCGTTGGTGTCCATTGGATTGTCAAAATGGTGGTACATGTGTTTATCAAGGAACAATAGCCAAGTGTCGTTGTCCAGCGGGAAAGACTGGACGTGTTTGCGAATATTGTATGTAAATATATTTAAAAGACGATTGCACTTCATCTACTTAGTTTTTCATTAATTTTAGGAACATAATTAACAAAAAAATGTTTAAAATTTGTACAAAATAACTCTCCTCCTTCTGGTCATTAATACTTTTGTGTGCTCCATTTAACACGTTCAGTCGAACATTTTCAATGATAGAAGCATGTAAAAGAAATAATAAGAGTGGAACGCTTGTCTCTTCTCAAGTTTTTTTTTAATATTTTTCTCATACTTCTTCATCTATATACTTTTTTTTAATAAAGTGCCTTATTTTAATTGTATAAATGTTAATTTTTAACTTTTTTCAGTCTCAAAATTTTTCTCTCTGTTTTGAAAATAGTTTTCGTTTTCTTGTTGTTGCTAGTTCTATACGTCGAAAAAAAAAATAAACAGCCAATTTTACCTCGATAAGTATTTGTCAGACTTATGTAGTTTATATACATGTGCTTTTTTGTTTTTACACAGAAATAAATATAGGAAACATAAATAGTTGAATATATACGAAGAACATTGAGTAACAAGAAAAAATTTGAAAACTTCAAGATGCCCTTCTCCACTTTGATATTTCAATACAAGAATGTTTTTGTTTGGATACGAGCATAATGCCACTTTACTTTGATCGAACTTTTCGAACAAGATACGAGCGAATGCTGTTTGGATTGAAAAATGATCACTATGATTTAACAAACAATCTTCAAAAGCCTTTATCGATTTAACTACTTTTAATACTAAAAAAATCAGTGGAAAAATACTATAAAAAAAACAATAACACATTTTAGATCATATTGACATCTTCAATATTCTGATTTATTTGCTGTTATATATAGATGTATACAAGAATGACATGGACCAGGATCGTTTTCATTACTGATTTCTTTTATTTTCGTCTTTAATAAACCGTGCGAACGTTCTTTAAACAGATTTAGAAGAACATTTTCACAGTATCAATCAATGGCAAGAGTAACGCGTGGACGGTTTTGACAATGTAGGTGTAGAGACTTTCTTCAAGATTCCGATAGCTCGCTCTTTTTACACACGGTTATATGTATCTGGAAATTTTAGACCTTAATATGGCATGAGCTGAGCGCACAAATTGGAAAGATCTGAGAAACACCGCCTTTCAATAACTTTTGAATTTTCGTTTACCATTTCATTTTTTCGAAATACCAATGTCATATTGTGATCAGCGTCAAATTTTGAGTCTAGTGATGTATCTTTTTCTGATTTTAACGAAACAAAATTCTTCGATGTTCCAAAGGGGGACCTTAGCCTTAAAATTTTTGATGAAAAATGAAAATGGTTTTCTGGAAAAACAAATTAGCCTGTCGTGTTCAGAATTCGACGCTGATTCTAACCACGTCGCTTTTTCTCGATAACTTTTTGGGATGAAAAATAGACTTACCACCACCAGTCCTTTAAGTTAATTTATGTGGTTAATATTCATAATCTTGTACCAAAATATCTCGAACTACGCTGACTAGATAAACGTATTGCTCCTGATACGATAAGTGAAGCTTTGTATTGTAACTGATCGAAAGTACGTATATTATTTTTATTTACATACATACAACATGCACAAGTTATTATTGGAAATACGTATGATTTATACATTTGATTGAATGTCGATGTGCTGAATGTTCTCTTGAATATTTTGTATAAATCAATATATGTATAAATCAATATATGTATAAATCAATATATGTATAAATCAATGTATGAAAGTTGTAGTCTCAATGATTTGATAAGAAATTCAACATGTTCAGATGGAAACGAACAACTCATGTTTATGTAATAGAAAATGAATTATTATCAACTCGATTTACAATTGTACGGTTCATTCTCGTACTCTACATATCCCCATTCAATGTCACAAAAATCAATTATGCTGCGGTGATTTTGTTTCGCAAAAATGGTCACTTTCGATTAAATCGTCAATTGTTCAAACTATAAAGATTTCAGACTCAGTGGCAGTTTTTCATTTGATATGTTACCAGCATTTTGCCAGTTAACTATTTCGGATGCATTAATTGTTTTTTATTCTTCAACATACGTCTGTAAAAAACTTTCTGTCGAACAAAAATATTCTTATTCAAAACACGAAAATATAGTTATACATCCGTCTTCTGTGGAATGAAACATGTAGTTGAAAAAACTCAACCTTTTCCAAAAATTATTTTATTTTATTTTTAGCTAGCTATCTTTCACCATATCGTGATCTGAAAGATAGTATTATCATGAAGTGTTCATTACAATCGTAGATTAAGAAAGTTCTTCAGTCTAAAGGGATTTAGTCTGATGTCAGTTAATGCGACACGGAAGGACCCTTAACAAATGTTAAAGCAAGCATTAACGTAGGTTCATGACGCAAAGATTTCGACGATCATGGCGCTTGTTTTCGGTTGTAACATTGATTGTAAAATCGGATTGACACATTGTCGCTAAGATAGGAGGTTTTGAATTCGTTTCATTTTCACTTCATTTTCAGTTTAGAAAAGCAACAAGTTATAATTTCATCTCGTAAACATTTTTCATTCTTCTTCGTTCCTAAACAACTAATCATAGTACTGTTTATATAGATAATCTTCCCAGAACATATCTGCACATGAAAATGTGAGAAAAAAAGTTGACGTGTTCAATTGACGAATATATCATATAAAGTTTTTAAATTGTGTTGCCCATACTGAGGACTTCCTCTAACATGCTGAAGATATCTAAAGGCCATATCATTTCGCATCAAGTGTTTAAAACTTTCCTCATTGGTTATTTGACCCGCAGTTACACGTTGTTTTCCAGGAAACTGTTTTCTAAGGGCAATAGAGACACCTGAATAAGCCTTTTTTAAATCATTAAGGTATTTAGAAAGAAAATACATGTAGCATCCTTAGCAAAGCAAGGATCGGCACAAAACAATCTAGTATTGCAATACAATGAAAAGGAAAGGTTGCTGTCATGTGATTCATCATAAGCGCCTTTACCATCCGGGAAAATGTGTGGGAATAGCTTAGACTCTATGGTGCTATCTCTCAGAAGCGATATAGGTTTATTTTGTTCTGCTGGAGCAAGAATGATGGTTTTCTGTTCTAGAACGTAACTCTCTAAATCTATTGGTTGAAGACAAGAATGCGTTCCAAAGTTAAAGTTAGTTCTTGGATCTCCTGTATCCTCTACTGCTGTTCCACTATCGCTATCGCTATCACTGTCATGCTCACTATTTGTTTTTTGATCCTCAACAATAGCACTTCTTTCTTCAACAATATCATCCATGTTATCGACCTGCATAATGTCACTTTGTTCTTCACACCACCTATACCAATTCCACTTTCAGTTTCTTTCTCACTAACAGATTCACGATTTTCGATGGGATTAGTACTATTCGTTAGAGCTGGATGGTTAGCGAGATAGTTATGATCAATTTCATTAATTCGAAGCTCTCTGTAATCCTCTCTTGAAACCTTATAACGTTCTAAAACCTCTCTGATATGTTTCGGATTTATTCCATACTGCTTTATATTGAATCCGTCTTTTTAACGCACATGGCATGATCATAGATTTATCAATTGGTCTAGGAAGAGACGTGACTGTTTCTTGCACATTAGCTGGAACACAATGAAAAGAGCCATGAGTAGCTCGTTGCTTATATGGTAAAACATCAACAATGTACATAAATGGAATTACTAGAGCTACGAGTAATTTTTCAAGATAATTGAGTCGTTTCACCTCCTCGGATACACTGCTAAACCATTAACTACAGCTCAGAAAAGTGGAGACTACAGAAAGAAGAAAATAAAAGAACAAAAATCTCAGCAAAAACACATAAGGACTGTCTACATAATTAGAATGCAACTGTGCTACCCACAAGTTGCGATTGTATCCGATCTGAATCTGTTAGAAGCGGTTCGCAGTCAATAGGGAATTCACCACATCACATTCGTTGTAGTTTTAGTTGCTTTAAACGACAGATTTAAGAAAAATGAATTGAGAACAAAATTTGAAGAAGAGAGAGAGAATTATTTTTCCTGTGAAGAACAAATGGCGCCGGGCAACTGAATATACGAAAAATTTACCAAAATACATTTTTCTTTCAATTGTGGCGCTTACGGTATCGAATTTGGACCTTTATGTCAGAGAAAAATATGTAATGATCAATCTCCGACGTTGGGAGAATATTCTACCTTTCCCAGAACTTTCTAGCTTTCATAGTTCTCTATATCATGGGGTGCACAGTTTGCACAAAAGAAGGCCCATACAAAAAGAAAAAGACAAAATTTCCAGCAAAGACACATAATAAAATTGAACCTGTAAACAAACTATATTATTTAGTACAGTGTGATATTGGCAGGATTTTTGAAGTAATCGAACACATATTATTGTCAGTCCAAAAATTCAGTGGACTCGGATATGTTTTGAATAATTCAAAGAAGGCAAAAGATGGAGACTTGTGGTTTTCGGCAGTCGAAAGAGGACAATTTAATCTATATTTTCATAAGCAGAAACATTTTCTGAAATCAGTTTTTCAGAGGATCATTCGAAAACCAGTTCCTAAGTCAAAAATTTTACATAGCAATCGATCGAATTTTTTCCATAAATAAATAGTCTAAAGTGTCCTTTAAAAAATAAGATCTAAGCAGAAGTTTCATTTTGCTTTGTTCGAAAGCGTCGGACGGTTGTCCCGATTTCCCTATTCTTCGATCTGGGACCTTTAGAAATGCATGAAAACATGGGTTACCGATTATGCTGAGTCTTGTGGCAATGTTTGTTTTTTTTGAAAAAAAATTTAGAACCTAGCGAAACCTAAGTTTTGTCCCAGACCGAAGATTAGAGAAGTCGGGACAACCGTCCGACGCTTTCGAACAAAGCAAAATGAAACTTTTGCGTAGATCTTATTTTTTAGAGGACACGTTAGACTATCTATTTATGGAAAAAATTCGATCGATTGCTATGTAAAATTTTTGACTTAGGAACTGG